AATCACACACACCTGGTGCTCATCCCCTAATTAGTCTGTGTATAAGTGTTCCCTCTGCCCCCTTGTCTTTGTGAGTGATTGTTCTACGTGGGAGGAGAGTAGCTCGGTTGAGATACGCTCTCATTTATTTTGCCAGGGTTGATTTTCCCCTGTGTCATTACATTTATTGTATTTTCTGAGACTGTTTGGTCAGGGAGGATTGTTTCCCCTGTACCTGTTTCAATTGCCGTTGTAGGCGCATTGTATGTCTAGAAGGAATAAATCTGTATCCGGTTATTTTACTCCTGCGCCTGACTCCGTCCATCATTCACCACAGCCGTTTCCAGCTACAATAGCAATTTACAACATTAACAATGTCTACACTGTATTTCTGATCAATTTGATGTTATTTTAATGAACCAAAAAATTGATTTTCTTTCGAAAAACAAGGGAATGTCTAAGTGACCCCAAACTTTTGAACGGTAGTGTATGTAAATATATTTGTTAGAAAAAATACTATATGTCCCTTGACGTACTGATGCTGAATGTAAAAAATGTCTCAACTTACCACACTCTCTCTACCCTGTCCCTATGCTCAATTTACTCCATACCTGGACACGCTCTGTTTTCAAAACAGCTGTTGTTGACATTAATTCTGATTATTTCCAGGGATACACAACATCCTGAAATATATGTAAATATCTTTGTTAGAAAAATACTATATCTCTCTTGATGTACTGATGCTGAATGTAAAAAATGGCTCAACATACCCTACCCTCCCCTACAGTATGCAGGTGGTACATTGTGAAAATGCTGCATGTACAGAAAGTGAATGCTGTGATACAGTGAAATGGGTTCCTCTGCGGCACATTGGAGATTTGCTTGTTCTATGTGAAACTTCCATGTGAAACTCTGATTCTATAAGCTTGACAGAGCCTTTTCTTGTGTGTTACTACTAGTCTAAACATCAGACACCGCTGTGTGATATCAAAACTGCATAACACACCTTGACAAGATGTAAAGAACAGAATGTCCTATTCAAACCACTTCCTCCTTTAAAGAGCGGCCCTTTAAACACTGCAGAGCATCACACCTGACAGATGAAAGACTTCTTGAGTGTGCGTTCTTGTGTGAAGCGAGCAAGAGAGCATGCATGTGTTTATGTCTGTGCTCAACAATACTCTCTAACCACCTCTGTCAAGTAAACAGTACCAGGAAGTATCCAAACCACAGCTTCACTTTGCATTCTCTATCACGTTAATGAGCCAAAACTTCACCAACACATGGTATGTCTGCTGAGTTATGATACGGAAGCAGGTGTTATATGTGCAGTGTAGTGGAGAACCGTAAACGCTAATTTGTCCATTACTCTGTCAGTTGGTTCCTGAGAGAGCGCCTCAGCAGGGGTAGGCAACTAGTTTTTGTCGTGGGCCGATTTTTGTCCATGTGGATAGTTGGGTGGCCTGAACATAATTATAATAATTTGTACACTGCAAATTGACCACAAGTAAGGCCAAAAATAGACTGTATTTGAAAATAACATGATAATTTCATTACATTGAGACACGATCACATTGTCTCTCTTTTCATTTGTGGGAATATTTGGGAACATATCTCCATATTCTCCATATTCCTGGTGATTTTACAGTCTTTTATGACCAAAAACTAAAATTAATTTGACCAAAAACGCCTGTTGCCGACCCCTGCTCTATGGGGTTATAATGTTTTGTAGTTGTGCTCTGATGTTATCTCCTTTATTGCCATCTAGTGGAGTTTTGTTGCAGTGAAGGATATTCTCTAGTAGTAGGAGTTACTCAAGTCATGTAACAGAGGGATGATCATATAAATAGTATCAACTCTGTATGGGGATGACTCTATTTGCATCAATGATAGTTTGCATACTTTCAGGATAGAGGAAGACATCCGTTTGAGTGTAGAAGGTTAACACAACGACATAGCAGCAACCAGGGTTTTTGCCTGCGTTCTTCATGATTACATACTGTAATAAGTGTGCTCATGGCATTCAGCACCTCAAAGGGGAATCTCAGCAATATCAAACTCCAGCCAGGTCAGGGGGAAAGGGAATGATGGGGGGGATTGAAAAAATGATGATGATGTCATGGTGAAACAACCCCTGCTGCCAGAGACACACAAGAACATACACAAATCCTTGCACATGTCCGTTTTGAGGCTATTTCTTAATTGATTTGACTGAGGAGTCAGAAGCTGTGTATAAAAAGTAGGACACTGTTCATCTCTGCCCTGCTTCACACTGGCCTCCACTGGTTACTCTATGGTAGTGCCCCTCTGTAATATACTTCACCTCCACCTTGCACACTTGCACGCCTCCTTGCACACTTTGCAATGAACTGATGCTTTGCACCGATAGAAACACAAGCATTTCGATGCACCTGCGATAACATCTAAAAATCTGTGTACTCAACCAATAAATAAACTGATTTGACCCAAGGGAATGGGATGATGATGATGATTAGGGGCCAGTTGTTATGATTACTATGCTTGTTATGACTATTTTGATTAACCATTGCCATTGGCATTATGATGATGATTATAATTTTCCTGTAATCAATTCCCCCTGCTTGGTAAAAGATTACGTCAGTACAGAGACAAAGTGGAGTTGCAATTCAATGGCTCAGACAGGAGACATATGTGGCAGGGACTCCAGACAATCACGGATTACAAAGGGAAAATCAGGCACGTCGCGGACACCGACACCTTGCTTTCAGACAAGCTAAACACCTTCTTCGCCCGTTTTGAGGATAACACAGTGCCACCGATGCGGGCCGCTCCCGAGGACTGTGGGCTCTCGTTCTCCGTGGCTGACGTGAGTAAGACATTTAAGCATGTTAACCCTCGCAAGGCTGCCGGCCCAGACGGCATCCCTAGCCGCGTCCTCAGAGCATGTGCAGACCAGCTGGCTAGAGTGTTTACTGACATATTCAATTTCTCCCTATCCCAGTCTGCCCTCCCCACTTGCTTCAAGATGTCCACCAATGTTCCTGTACCCAAGAAAGCAAAGGTAACTGAACTAAATGACTATCGCCCCGTAGCACTCACTTCTGTCATCATGAAGTGCTTTGAGAGGCTAGTTAAGGATCATATTACCTCCACCTTACTTGACCCCCATACCGCCCCAATAGATCCACAGACGATGCAATCGCCATGTCACTGCACACTGCCCTATCCCATCTGGACAAGAGGAATACCTATGTAAGAATGCTGTTCATTGACTAGAGCTCAGCCTTCAACACCATAGTACCCTCCAAGCTCATCATTAAGCTCGGGGCCTGCCCTGTGCAACTGGGTCCTGGACTTCCTGACGGGCCGCCCCCAGGTGGTGAAGGTAGGAAACAACATCTCCACTACGCTGATCCTCAACACAGGGGCCCCACAAGGGTGTGTGCTCAGCCCCCTCCTGTACTCCCTGTTCACCCATGACTGCATGGCCACGCACACCTCCAACTCAATCATCGTTTGCAGATGACACAATAGTAGTAGGCCTGATTATCAACGACGAGACAGCCTACAAGGAGGAGGTGAGGGCCCTGGTGGAGTGGTGCCAGGAAAATAACTTCTCCCTCAACATCAACAAAACGAAGGAACTGATCGTGGACTTCAGGAGACAGCAGAGGGAGCAGGCCTCCATCCACGTCGATGGGGCCGCAGTGGAGAAGATGAAAAGCTTCAAGTTCCTCAGCGTACACATCACTGACAATCTGAAATGGTCCACCCACACAGCCAGTGTGGTGAAGACGGCACACCAGCGCCTCTTCAACCTCAGGAGGCTGAAGAAATTTGGCTTGGCCGCTAAGAACCTCACAAACTTTTACAGATGCACCATTGAGAGCATCCTGTCGGGCTGTATCACCGCCTGGTACGGCAACTGCTCCGTTCGCAACCGCAGGGCTCTCCAGAGGGTGGTGCGGTCTGCCCAATGCATAACACCGGGGGCACACTGCCTGCCCTCCAGGACACCTACAGCACCCAATGTCACAGGAAGGCCAAAAAGATCATCAAGGACATCAGCCACCCGAGCCACGGCCTGTTCACCCTGAAGACTAGGTCAGTACAGGTGCATCAAAGCTGGGACCGAGAGACTGAAAAACAGCTTCTATCTCAATGCCATCAGACAGTTAAATAGCCATCACTAGCCGGCCTCCACCCAGTACCCTGCCCTGAACTTAGTCACTGTCACTAGCCGGCTACCACCCGGTTACTCAACCCTGCACCTTAGAGGCTACTGCCCTATGTACATAGACATGGAATCACTGGTCACTTTAATAATAGAACACTGGTTACTTTAATAATGTTTACATACTGTTTTACTAATTTCGTATGTATATACTGTATTCTAGTCAATGCCATCCCATTCAACTATTGCTGTATATATACTATTCTATCCTACGTATTCTACAGATATATATATATATATATATATATATATATATATATATATATATATATATATATATATATATATTCTACAGATATATATTTAGACAATGCTCTTCCTAATAATTATATTTTACTTAATTCCATTATTTTACTTTTAGATTTGTTTGTATTGTTTTGAATTGTTACATATTACTGCACTGTTTGAGCTAGGAACACAAGCATTTCGCTACACCCAAAATAACATATGCTAAATATGTGTACGCGACCAATACAATTTTATTTGATTTTATTTGATTACGTCATAAAAATAAGGTTCTACACTTACACCATGTTTTCTGTGAAATATAGTTTTTTATGACTGTATCTCGATGGTTTAGTTGAGAATGGTTGACAGTGCGCATACATATCCCAGAGTGCAATGTGCCAATTGGCAAACGGGTCGTGTTGTGGGGGGTGACTAGTTGTGAGAGGATAAACAATCTTTGCAGTTGTCAATTTATAGCTAGCTGTTAATAGCTACCCGGTGCTGGAGGAAAATCGTATGGTTCGAAGGAGGGGAACGATTTGGTATTTGACTGAACGGCCTTGGCCCCGCGTTCGACGGCATGGAGAAACAGTTGCATTTGAATGTGTTAGCCTCCAGACCTCCCGTGCCAGAAGGAGGCTTGCAGTCGCGGTCTAAAATGAGAATGGGGTGAGTTCACAGCTAGTTTTGAGATGGTTGGCGAGGCTTTAATCAGATAGTTGTCTGGCTCTTGTAGCTAAGCCCTTCAACTTGTGAATGCATAACTAACATGAGCCAACAACCGTCTCGTCCTCTGTTTAACTTTTGTGGTAGAGCTAGCTACTGTAGCTAGCTAAATTCACGACATTGCTACCTAAGTAGCAAGCTAACTAGATAACGGTTAAATCTGACAACTGAAACTAATGCGGCTTTTCAATCCTATTATCTTGTGGTGAACAATGCTCCTATTCACGTGTTGTTTAGTTGTTCCATTCAAGTGCGACAGCCAGCTGGTTTTGACCTAATTTGGTTTTGACAGGTCAGTACAGTAAGAGCATCATCATCAGTAAGTCCCAGTAAACAAGCTAACGTGTTATGAAATAAGTTAGCTTACTAGCTACGAATCTTTTATGGATTATGCTGCCTCCATATTCTTCAGTATTAGTATTTCATATGGGTCGTTGATGGCTCAATTTATGAACCGGTATAGCTAAACTTATGCCACCCTCTTTGATGTGTAGGTATCCCTCCCCCTTCCTCTCTCCGTCATCAAAACTGCAGTCGTAGGCTCATCATAGGCCCATAGTTTTATATAATTTAAAAGCTTGCAAACAGGGTTTTCAAAGTATTTAATAATTTATTGTTTTTTAAATAAATATATATATATATATATATATATATATATATATATATAACATGACATTATTAACCTGTAAACCAATTATCAAAAAACGCGTAAACTACAATTTTTTTCATATTTGCATTTGTTGTAGCTTAGACCCTACTTTACATTATCTGAGGTTTTTGTGTTGTGCCAGCCATCTGTTGAGACATATGCTCTTGAATACAGGGTGGGTGTCATTTCAATCATATAAATATAATTCATAGAATGGACCTATTCCTCCAGACCACAGCAATTTAGCTGGTACACCATTGAAATGTAAATTAAATTGAAATTTTTACTTCTAATTACTACCACAAAGATGGCCACCGGTCCACCCACCATCGAAAGTCAACTTAAATGTGTAGGTATTCTATTATCTATATTTCTATGATTTCAATTGGTTTCCTATAGAGAATTGACAGTATAATTGAAAACAACAGCTATTCCCATTCAAGTTAAATTTCTCTGATGTGTGGACTTCTAACCATCTTTGTGGTACCATTTGAAAGTTTAAATTTAAATTGTATTCCCATTTCAGCCAAAACATGACACCCAGCTTGTATTCAAGAACATCACAACACAAAAACCTCAGAATACATAAAATAGGGTTTAAGCTACAACATATGTGAATAAAAAAAATGTGTTTTACGCATTTTTTGATAATTGACATTTAAGCAGTGGCGGCTGGTGAAAAATATTCTCGGTGGGGCTGTGCCATACTTTTTTTTTCCTGTAACCATCGCGATATATTTTAACACAAACTGCAGGACAGCAGTGCTCAGTGAAACATTCAGTAATTATTTAATGCCAATATTAAAAAGTTGAGGCATTCTTACACAAAAACATATTACACAAACCCAAGCCTTTCATTTGCATTTAAAGTGAACTTTTCACCATTGGTAGTAAACAGGCAACGCAACAGGCATGCTGTCAGAACAGAGTGGAAAGTGGACAATAACATGAAATTATTATAAAGTTTATAGGAAATCTTACACTGTATAAAAGGATGTATAATATAGAAATGGATATCAAGTGGATGAACTCAAACCTTTGACTGGAAGAATAGCATACAGTATTTTATGATCATACTAAATGTGACTAATTGTTAATGTGCTCCAGAACTGCAACAATTAATTGATACAAAACAACATATATACAGTAATATTAGCAAAGACACTATTAAGACTTTCTAGAGTACCATATATAACTGGATTTTTTATGCTAAGGTCAACTATATACAAAGAAACATGCAGCCAGAGCTGCTCTGTGTGTGTGTGTCTGTCATCTTATTTGTACAGGAATTTTATATATATATATAGACAGACAGACAGACAGATAGTGTGTATATACACACAAACTATGTCTAGTAACTGCTTTTAACCTGTGATGTACATCATTAACTGATGTTATTACGTTTTAAAGCCTTTTTCTATTACATTTGTGAGAGGGATGCAACATCATTTTGTTCTGCTGTGCACTTAGCAATAAAGTTAATCTTCAATAACAACTAGGCCTCTTCTAGAAATTGACCTGGTGGACACCTGAATAATTATTACAAACTGTGTAGTACTTTCCTGCATTATTATCAACGTCTGATTGTGTCTTCTCTTTCCTTTTAAAATACTAAAACAAATATAATTGTGACGGCTCTATGATAATCACTCACTTTGATGACCAGACACATTTAGGCTTTTAAACTGTTGTAAGTGAACTATTCATCTTTCTAACAACATCTTTATCAGCCAATAGTAAATATAGTTATTTACCTGATTGTTAGCATGCTGTCTGTGAACCTCTGGACAAGTGCTTTAATGAAGACAGGGTCGATGTTCCTCTTCTGCAGCTGGCTGAAAAGCATGTCCACATTTGGCATGATCTTGTGGAACAGTGCCAGGAAAAAACAGAAAGCCTCGTCTTCGAGCATCCTCACAAAGCCCCCCGCCTCTCTGACAGTCGGGGCATCAAAGTTCCCAGAGTCTCTGATGGTCTGGAAACACGTTAGGAGGTCATCCCTGTACTCGTACACAGTGTTTACAGCGCGACTGTGGAAGTTCCACCGTGTTGTAGAGGCTCTGGGGAGTCTATGCGCAACCACTTCGTCAAGCACGGTGGTTCGCTTGGGAGACCTGGAGAAGAAAGCAGAAAATCCTGCAAGGTCGGAAAAGAAAGTGCCGATCCTGGGGATGCGTGAAGTAGCCTGCTGCATGATGAGGTTCAGCTGATGTGCATAGCAGTGGACGTAGTGCGCATTTTCGTACACATCCACTATTTTACGCTGCACTCCGCCGGTGGCTCCCCTCATCACACTTGCTCCGTCGTAAGCCTGGGCAATAAGTTTGGCCTTTTGTCCATGTGAGAGTATGGTGCTGAGCCTCTCCAGCAGCGCTGTAGCGATGGTGTCGGCGGTTGCGTTCTCGATCAAAATGAACTCGAAAAAAACGCTCTTGGACGTTACTTTTAGCATCGATGTAGCGTATCACAAGCACCAACTGGCAGTGGGTGGAAACGTCAGTCGTCTCGTCAGCTTGAATGGCGATAAAATCAGCACTCTTTACTTCCTCCAGGATGTAATCCTTAAGCACTGACAGCATACAGTCCAACAGCTCGTTCTGTATCGTCTTTGACGTGCCCTTAAAAACGGTAGCTGTCTTCAGGTGCTCCTCCAGCACACTGTCGAGGGAGGCAACAAAATCCACTAAGCCCCGGAAAATGCCGGGGTTGTCCGAGGAGTCAGTCTCCTCGTGCCCACGCAAGGCCAACTCAAAAGCCCCACAGAACTTCACACAATCGATAATTTTGGATAGAATGTGCCTGTTTTTATCCACCTCCTCATTGTGTTTCCTCACCGCAATCCTGTGGCCGTCATCCAGCTGCGTAGCAATGTTCACCCTTCCTAATACAGCTAGCTTTACAGAGTTGTCCATGTGTGCCCTGGTGTTCTCATGTTTCTTTACCTTCTCTGACAGGTGCTTCATATCCCTCACTCCGGTACCTGTCCATGCTGAATCTGACCCCGTCGTTTTAAAAAGCAAGCACGGAAAGCAAAATAAAGCATTAGCATCAGTGCACCCAGCTAGCCAAGCCTTCCTGGTGTACCAGCTACGGGAGAAGCCGCGCATATACTGCTTCCCTTTCTCGCTAGCCTGCTGTCTGATTGAGAGGTCAGGTTGATCTGGGCCCAGCTCTTTCACCCGAACTTTCTCTGACAAAGTTCTCCTCTCAAACGGATCTTGGAGGAGAGATTTCACCGAGTTAGGGTTGGGTCTTGGAGGAGTAACGTTTGCGCTCGCCATTGTCGTCTAGTAAAAATGGCGCCACTGGAGCCCGGTCCTTATTTTATCAGGGGCGAGCTTGGGGCGATAAAATAATCGCCCTCCTTGGATTCGATTTAAGATCGCTGATTGGCTACATTTTATGTCATACATTCATATCTTAAATTAGCAATTGGCTTAACTGCTACGTAGACCCGCCTCCTCGGGGCACTTTCTGTATCGCCCAGAGCTGACGAGGCGTTTGACAGGCAGAGGAAAGGTTGCGAATATGATTTTCTATCATATCTTACACATATTACTGTGTGCATTCCATATTTCAAACACACAAATATTGACATACTGATGTTTTTATTATTATTATTATTATTTTTATTTATTTTTTATTTTATTTTTTAAAATAATTTTATTTAAGGGGGCGGCGCCCTAGCGCCCTCTATCGGCCAGCCGCCACTGCATTTAAGGTTACAAAATGACATCGTTTTTTTTTAAACACTTTTTTTTCAATGATCAAATAGTTAAATGATATCAATCTCAACCGTTTATCTTTTCCAATGATGAAAACATGGATGTCTCATGGTATGGTGGGGTATGCAAATAGGTCAACTTTGAGCACCTTTATCTCTTGAATGTTTTGGCATTCAGGTCCAAAAAGTCACTGTTCTGAGCATTTCTACAATGGGCAAATATGTATGGAAGGTTTCTTTCAAATTTAAAGGGGTGCCGTCAAAAAGTGATTGAATTCAAATGGATTTACCCACTTTTTAAAATCCTCTTTTTGTTTCTGATACTCCCTGGCTAACACACAGACCTGGACGGAAGAGAGACTTCTCCCCTCTGTCCTGGAGTGAATACTTTGAAGCGATGGAAGATGTAGAAGTGGAAAACAATAATGGCAAAGATATATCCTTTAATGTGGCTCCCATAAGTGTGCTACTGTTCATCTACACATGGAATTGAACCATGAATGATGTATCATATTTTTGAAACACTTACTGAAGAGAAGTCATTTTATACAGTGTAATATTTAACTCCTGATCCAGTGCATCATAAGCATATCTCCATTGTGAATGTGTCTGTACTCTATATTCCTTGACTACTCTGCACACGTTCAGAATCTACAGCAGCGGCCAGCATGGTCCTGTGCTGCTCCTGCTCCATGGAGGAGGCCACTCTGCTCTCTCCTGGGCTGTGTTCACTGTGAGTAATACTATCAAATACCAGAAAGAGCAAACATACTGTTTTATGTACACACATACCATCACAACATGTCCTGCATTTACAGAGTCTTCAGAAAGTATTCATACCCCTTGACTTATTCCACATTTTGTTGTGTTTAGGGCTGTAACAGTCATGAAAATTTGTCAGCTGGTTATTGTCATGAAAAGACTGCCGGTCTCACGGTAATTGACCGTTAATTAACATAAAGACGTTTAGCATCTCCAGGCCTCCAGGCATAGAAGCTGCATACAAGCTGCTGATACGCACCTTCGGAACAGTATAATAAAAAAAAAAGTATAATAAATACATTGTAATATAGTCTAATAAATCAATTTAATTCAATTTAGAATGTCCCATTATCAAATGGGCAGGAACAGGGGCAGGAGGAAAAAGACATGTCATCATTATGCACTCGAATAGCAAATGGAGGCCGCTTTTCCGTCCGGTTCCTTTTTCAATCCTATTGGGTATGCTTCTCCGGTTATTTCATCAACCACTGTTTGAGAAGCATGAATCGTGTTGCTGCGCAACAGGTGATATTTCGCCTAAACTCTGTATGCCATGGGCTCTCCAACCCTGTTCCTGCAGCTACCCAGTGCTTAATTTGGGAAACCAAGTGAAATCTGTTCTGGAACATCGATAGTAACATGTTTTCACAACAAAACATATTTAATTAAACTGTTGACAGCCCCTCTCTCTGCACGCTCGAGAAAGGAATGAAGGAGAGAGAGGAGGAGATGGAAACACACGGTGGTGAGATATTCTGTAGCTAAAGGTAATGTCAGCCTATTAATTATGAAAATATAAAAAATGCCCTATTACTAGGCTATTCAAAATCAAATACAAATGCACTATAATTGTAGGCTAACTCTGTAAGCAGCCCTGCACAATCAATGAACCAACTGCATCGCCTAGGCCTATACGTTCTCTCCCAAACTCATGGATAGAAAGTTTGGAACGTAGCATAAGGTAACCAGTCCATCCAGTATGCATAATAATACAGTCCACACTCAATGGCGGTTACTATACATTTTTCTTTTTTTGAATAAGTACCATATTATGTACCAAAGACATTTTAAATCTGTTTTTTAAATGTTTTTCTGCCTTGCATAATTTGCGGTAGGCTATGTATTGTATAACAGCACAATCATTATTTTAATTCAGGAGATTTTTTGGGGCTTGGGCTTAGGGCTGAACGATTAATTGCATTCGCGATAATATCGCGATTTGACTGAACGCGATTTTCTAATCGCAACGTGCGCGATTTGAGGTGGTCACGTGACGCGACTTTTCATGCTGTCCAGCGCAATGGCCTCTTGCTCGACGGAACAGTCAGAAACTGACACAGCTGATACTTTAATATCGAAGAGGAACAGCACGTCGGTGGTGTGGAACTATTTTGGTTTTAAAAAAGAAGATGCTGAGCAGCGTCAGGTGTTGTGCAGAGCATGCCGTGCTCCGATTGCTACTTCACGGGGTAACACTACAAACCTGTTTCAGCACTTAAAAAAATACCACAAATCAATGCATGACAGTTGTATGACCAAAATGCCGAGCATCAGTGCGCGAGACAAGCCAAATACCTCAAGACAGGGATCACTGACAGAAATGTTCGAAAGTGTCACTCCGTATGAACGTAATTCAAAACGGCACGGAGAAATCACTCGGACAATAACCGAGTTCATAGCCAAAGATATGATGCCTCTCAGCACGGTGACCAAGCCTGGGTTCATGGCATTAATACATACGCTTGATAAACGTTACAGTATACCCTCCCGCACATACTTCAGTCAGACTGCCATACCGGAGCTGTACAAAAAGTGCAAAGAGAAAGTCGCCGCGGAACTTAAAACGGTGGAGTTTTTTGCTAGCACTACTGATATGTGGTCAAGCCGCACAGCTGAGCCGTACCAGAGTCTTACAGTCCATTTTATTGATGAAGATTTCAACCTCCGAGCTCGCTGCCTACAAACTACCTACTTCCCAGACGATCACACAGGGGAAAATATTGCAGCCGGCCTGAGAGAAGGGCTTGTCAGCTGGGATCTCCACGAGGAGAATCACGTCTGCATCACGACGGACAACGCGTCGAATATGGTGCTTGCTGCGCGGCTTAATGAATGGACGAGGCTCCAATGTTTTGGCCACAGATTACATCTTGCCATTGGTAAGTTATCGTGTGTGTGTGTGTGTGTGTGTGTGTGTGTGTGTGTGTGTGTGTGTGTGTGTGTGTGTGTGCGCGCGAGTGCGAGAGAGAGAGATGCGTCGATTAGTAAAGCTGAATATACAAATATATATAAATGATATTATATAAATCGGATGGGATTAAATAAATTCATACTTCCACTCCTTTTCTAATATGTAAATTCATTTTACTTGCTTATATCATATGTCTGTCTGTGGTGGAATGCCCACCTGCATTTTTTTTCTTTTCTTGTTTTTGTTTTTTACATGTTTTTTTAGTGTTTATGAGAGAGAGAGAGAGAGAGAAAGAGAGAGAGAATTGACATGCAAATAAAGACCCTTTGAATTGAGAGAGAGAGAGAGGATGTGTTGTGGATGTGTGTATTTCAGAATTACAGCTAATTTGAGTGTGTAATAGTGAGAGCCTTGTATCAAAACTCAAATAGTGTGTAATACACTACTTTTTATTTCTTTTAGAAAATGCACTCAAAGATGACAGAGTGTCAAGGGCAACAGCACTGTGCAGGAAGCTGGTGGGGCACTTTTCCCACAGTTGGAAGAAGAAAGCAGCCCTGACGGAGGCACAGAGAGAGCTCAAACTCCCTGAGCACAACCTCATAACGGAGTGCCCAACAAGATGGGGTTCTAAAGAAATGATGATTGCCAGAGTGCTTGAACAGGCCAAAGCCATTTCTCAGGTATTGTCTGGAGATCGATATGCACGCTCCCTTATCCCAACCTGGCAGGATATTGACGTGTTGGAGTCGATTCACAAGGCACTGCATCCTCTACTGGAGTTTACTGATGCTCTTTCTGGAGAGGAGTATGTAAGCATCTCCTACCTCAAGCCAGTTCTCCACCTTTTTGCCACATCAGTCCTGGCTGAAGATGCTGAGGACACTGACCTGACTAAATCAATAAAAACCAAAGTCCTAGCATACCTCAATAACAAATATGGAGACCCAAACATCCAGGAGCTTTTGGATGTTGCCTGTTTCCTGGACCCTAGGTTCAAAATACAGTACATCAGTACAGACAACATCCCTGCTATCAAGACTCGTCTGAAGACAGAGATAGTAGACTTGGCACAACGTACATATCATTGGGTAAATAATTATGTATTTCACAAAAACAAAAATTTTCTGTAAAATCTAACTGGAAAACTAATGGCTGTTGTTTTCATCTAATAGGAGAAGAGGTCTCGTACTGAAACTGTTCAGATGCCTCAAAGTGCACAGTCCTTGGGGGAAAAGACGAAGAGGTCTCTTGGCAGTTTTTTCAAGACCAGTTCAGCCTCTCCTTCTTTGCCTGTAAATCTTGAAGATGTCGCAGAGGCAGAGATAAACAATTACCTGATGACTCCTACCATTGATGGAGAAGATGATCCATTGGCTTGGTGGAGGGTGCACAAGATCAGCTACCCACAGTTGTGCACCATGGCACGCAAGTATCTTTGTGTACCTGCTACAAGCGCTCCCTCAGAGCGTCTTTTTAGCACAGGAGGGAATATTGTGACTTGCACTCGCTCAGCCTTGAAGCCAGAAAAAGTCAATATTCTGGTTTTCTTAGCAAAAAACCTGTGAGCCACTGAGAACAGAACTGTTGGATAAGTATGGCTGGCAGTGCCATACTCGTAGTGAACTTTAGTCTGTGTGGTGTGTTATTGTTGTGTACTTGAGATAAGTGAGGCTCATCTATTTTATATTATAATATTCAAATCGTTTATAAAAAATAGTTTGTCTAAATTAAAAGTGCATTTCTCATTTTTTATTTATAACTTTATTTACTTTGATTTTACAAAATATTTTCAAAGCAAATTCCTTGTTTCAGTTGTGTGAAATGTTACTGACTTGGGAGCAGTAAGATACATACAATTTAAAATTATTTTTTTCTTAAGACTGTACCTTTTGCACACAGTGTTTACAAAGTTCATGCCTTTGTTTAAATTATTTAAATGCACAGTGGCAAAGCCACAGATGTTTCTGTAATGAGCAGTTCAATAAAAATGTCATTTATTTCAAGTCATACATGTTTGAATTTAATTCTAACAAATAGACCCAGCCTATGGGAAAGAACATTTCACACTAAATGTATATACTATTGTGTTGGTCATATTTAAATCATTCATTATGTTTTGTAGGGGAAAAAGGATAAATAAATTAAATCGCATATTAAATCGCAATCGCAATATTGGGGGCAAAAAATCGCAATTAGATTATTTTCCAAAATCGTTCAGCCTTACTTGGGCTCATACAGTGGGGGAAAAAAGTATTTAGTCAGCCACCAATTGTGCAAGTTCTCCCACTTAAAAAGATGAGAGGCCTGTAATTTTCATAATAGGTACATGTCAACTATGACAGACAAAATGAGAAAAAAAATCCAGAAAATCACATTGTGAGATTTTTAATGAATTTATTTGCAAATTATGGTGGAAAATAAGTATTTGGTCAATAACAAAAGTTTCTCAATACTTTGTTATATACCCTTTGTTGGCAATGACACAGGTCAAACGTTTTCTGTAAGTCTTCACAAGGTTTTCACACACTGTTGCTGGT